CTTTCCTCCGTCAGGCAGCAAGTCCAGGCGTAAGTCTCCTTAATCCCGGACTGTCTTGCGTGTTTTATTTTTTATTTAGATTCGGCGATCACTCGAGTCATCCGTGAACTTCGACAAAACACAAACACGGTCACAAAGTCTTCTTGAAAGAATAAGACTGAGTTAAATGAAGAAGAAATAAGAGCTTGGTCGTCGTCGCACCGAGGAGTCCCGCGTCGAAGTCGTCAGCGAAAGTCGTCCTCGCCGAGCAGAGTCGTCGCCGGCGGAGTCGTGGAGGGGAACGTCCGTACAGCGTCGCGTCTGGAAGCTGACTGATGGCTGGCGACGGCCGCGGGAACACCAAAGCCCCTCCGCCAGGCCTCGCTGCTCATGTGGGGCCGCTGCGGACACCCCCCCCCCCCCAAATCCCCCCATTATTTCCCCCCCCCCCCACTTGGTCCAATCCCCCCCTTCTTGTAGTTCCCCCCCTCACTCTTGGTGTCTCCTCTGCTTGTGTCTCCTCCCCTCCCGTCCCTCCTCCTTCCCTTGTACTCCCCCTCCTCCAATCCCCCCCCATCCCTCCTCTTTCACCCCTTCTCTAGTTCTACCTTCTTTTTCTTCCCCCTTCCTCTCTCTCACTCTTCCTCCTTCCCTTTCGTTTTACTCCTCCCCTCCTCAGGTTCTCCCTCTCCTTCCTTCTTTCTCCCCACCTTCTTCACCTTCTCCTCCCCGTCTCTATCACCCCCTCCACCTTCCCCTCCCTTCACCATCCCCCTCTCCTTACTCCTTTCCCCCCACCTCCTTCACCTTCCCCTCCCCCACTCCACCACCACCTCCACCTTCCCCTCCTCCTCCACCTTCCCCACTCCATCCCACCTCCACCTTCCCCTCCTCCCCCTCCTCCCCTCCCTCCCCCTTCCCCCTTTACCTCCTTCCCCCCTTTACCTCCCTCCCCCCACTCTTTCTACGGCAGATGTCCGTTCTCCGCGACCCAAGAACGCCGACATTCGCGCAAGATTATGATACGGTGTGAAGGTCTTCCGTGGTCTGTGGAACGTCCCCAAGGTCCTTTTACCGGCGATCCGACCTAATTTCATTATCCGAATTACGTCCTAAAGTGTACTTTCTTGTCCGATTTTAATTTATGCGGTTATGTTAATTTCTCTGGCTAGATTTTTTTTTAGAGATTATTGATTATAGAAGGGGTGTATGTTTCTGTCCGAAGCGAGGATTTTTTTTTCTCTCTCACGTATATATATATGATATATATATAAAGTGGAAATATTAACATACAGTGAATCAAAATCTTTGCTTTATGTAACAACGAAGCTTTAAGCCTTTTATCACAAAGAAATTAGGAGGTTCATTTAGATTCGAGAAAAAAATGCAAGGGAGAGAGACAGAGAGAGAGAGAGAGAGAGAGAGAGAGAGAGAGAGAGAGAGAGAGAGAGAGAGAGAGAGAGAGAGATAATGTTAGTTGTATTATTTCATTCCATTCATATTATAATTTTACCCTGTATCAACTATCTATACAAAACAAACTCCTTAAGCTCACCAGTATCCTCACTGTAAAAAAGATACTAATTTCAATAACTAAGCAAGGTATTTCCTCTCTCCCGCCATCGCCCCCGCCATTAACTTCAAATCTTCACTCTTCTCTCTCTAGCACCCGCCCTTAACCTTATTCTAAGTCATTGGTCATTGCATATTTATCGAAGTCAATGTACCTTATCTAAGTCACAACAGCCCAAGTCACCGCATCTCCACCTAAGTCATGCTGCCTGAACCGGACTGCAACTGGTTCCGGACTTGCGAGCAAAGACTACTTGTCCGGGACTTCGCTTGATGTGAAATTTACTCACGTTCCCTCGTACAAGATCACGGTGGCAGGCCAATCTCTCCCTGGGATTTTTAAGCTAATGGTCTATTAATAGTTTTAACATTAATTGGGGTTTTCAATATTTAATTACTTGTGTGTGCGTGGGTTTGTTTCTATGCGTACGTGTGTGTGTGTGTGAAACCACCATGATTTGCTTAATGTGATCGTGTCTAAGCGCGGCAGATTTAAGCACCGGACCCGATGATCAAACGACCCTTGATTTTAGGTCCAATTACCGCACGCCCACGGTCCAGCACCTCTCGGACGCCCGCAACCGTAAGCTGGCTCCCACCTTCGATGTTCAACTTCGCCAGCAAAAGAAAGCGCTACACTCGCCCCCTGTCTTTTGGGATGATTACCTGTGCCGTTTTTCATGGGAGAGTCAACCATGCGGACGCGAACAGGTGGTCACGGGAGGCCCTCTGCGCTAAGAAGGTCTGGTTCCTTTGTCGGCTACAAGGTGATCGCCGGAGACAGTCCTATTAGCAAGTGGGTCGCGACGCGCTGTTTCGACCGGCGCAGAAAAGCAGAAAGAAAAGAAATGGCGCCTGAACAACACTTCTCGAAGCACCTCTTAGACAACTCTTCTCTTCAACGTGTGGTGGGGATCTGATGGACAGTTAGCCATAGAAACGTCGTCCA